CGTCGTTCTCCTTTGAGAACTTCACGAGAACATTGCGCAGTCAAGTCGATGTGCCTGACTTCAATGATGCGCGGGGAGAATCTGTGTCTGGCGACGCGCGTGGACACTTGATGACGCCAGACTCACATGTGCCACTTGTTTAGTGTGGGCCACTATCCAACTAAGTTGCGTCTTACGCGCAACCTATTGTAACAAATGATCTCCCTATTGCTGTTGAACAATGTGGATGCTCTCAGTGTGGTGCCCCATTTCCCGAACTTGTTAGTTTAGAAATTCCTGACGGCACTCGCAAAGATCCTATTGCAAGCAAACAAACTTCTCGGGTGAAACGAAGGGTTCGAGAACCGACTTTGATACGGTGTGGTTCATGTGGGTTTGAGTTTAGCTCGCAGCACTTTCTGCGCAATGCTCTGTTACATTTTCGTCCGGCGCAATGGCCACATTGGGAACATTCATTATCGCCGGAGGAGGTAAATAAGCAAGCGGCTATAGAAGCGGTCTGTCGTGACACATTGGCGAAGGCCGTGGAGATTATTTACGATCGGGAGAATATTTTTGCATGCTACAAAGGTGAAATTGGAGTCGCTTCATTTTCGTCCGAGCTATAATGCACACAAAATTGTGGCCAGATGGCGCTTCAAAAGATGAATGAAGATGCGTTTAAAGTGACGATCTCGCGAGATTATTTGAGGTATCTCCTCCTTCTAGATTTGATGAAAGAACACGTCAATCTGATGTGGATTGCATGGTCTCTACCCTGGCAGTGAATTTGAATCAGCACCTATGGAATCACACAAATAGTTGCTTTAAGCAGTCTAGGTCAACGACTCACGATTCATATTGCCGGTACCGCTTTCCTCGTGAAATTGTGCCTCGTACACTGTTTGATTCATCGGGGAATATGTTGCGTCGAAAGCTAGGTCATGAGTTCATCAACGCATTCAACTACGAAATAATGGCAACATTCCGATGCAATCACGATATTCAGATCTTGCTAGGCAACCGATAGGATTTACTATTGCTGCAAATATGTCACGAAGTATCAGAGGCAACTGGATTCTCATGTGGCTATTCCTGTAGCGGCGCTGAAGCGACGTCAAGAGCGTGAGCAAAATGAGGCGTCTGAATCTGGTGGACAAGACCGTCGTGTGGTGGCGCGCAAGCGCGTAGCTGCTTTGATTTACAACTTGACGAATCGCCAAGAAATTGCAGGTACCCTGGCAACATTATATCTGTATCGAGGTTCATGTTACTACTCAAGCGCATCATGTACGTCATTACCATTAGGGGAAGCAATACGGCAACTTACAACTGAACAGTACGCGTGTGCCCTAATTACTGACGACGACCCAAGCTCTCCAAAATATCATGCTGTGTCATACCTCGACGACTACATTTATCGACCAGACGAATTACAAGTTGTGAATTTGTATGAATTTACGATGTGGTACTTTCAAAGGAAGACTGGCAACTACCGAACCGCCAAGCTAAACTTTCGTGAGAGCCACCCTCTTTACAAGTCTCATTGTCTTGGAAAAAGACATATTGATGTTGTTCCAGTCATTCAAGGTTTCAGAATGCCGTCTTCCCAAAATGACAATTCGAACTTGGCATGCAAGCGCGCTGTTCTCAGCCTCATTCTTTTCAAACCTTT